ATAAAAATTTAAAAAATTAATATTTCTAGACCAATGTGGCTCTCCATTTCTGTACAATGCCAACTCAACACAGTAAACTGCAATAACTTTTTCCAAAGTTGACAGCACCAAGGATAAACTGTTAAGTGGTTAATATTTGTGCATTGTTATTCTCAAACATAACTGTGATATCTTGACTTTTGTTAAACCTCTTCATCCTCTCCATCCAAATTGATCTTCTACCTGTGCTTACTTAAGTCTGAAAGCCATTTCTGTGGCCTACCCATTTTACCAAGCCCATCCTACCATAAATATGCCACAGTGAGAAAGAGAAGCTAGAGATTAAAGGAAATCAGTAACCTAAACAATATTATTTAGTTCACAGAATATGAAAATGGCAGCAAAAGCAACAAAAAACAAAGCCACCTGAAATCTATGAAGGAAGATGGGAGAGAAAGAAAAATGGGAAAAGACAAGTGTTCACAGTGCTAGGAAAAATGTACAGGTGAAAGAAGAAAGGAAGAAATGAAAATACAACAACAGTACAAGAAATAGTTAAATTTTCCACCAGAGGTCTGTTATAAAGTGCTTTGATTGTTCAAGGTAATTGAGGATAATTTGGCGTGCATTATCCTGTGCCAAAAATTGGCAGTATTTAGACATGAGCCTTTATTACCGCCAGAGACCCCTGTAGTCAGGTTCCAGTACCTACCTGCCCAGTATACAGTGCAGGCCTGAGAAAAAAGACACTGAGACAGAACTAGGAGAAAAGCAGGGTGCCAGGATGACCAATGTGGGTGCAACCAACAAAGGCACTGGACAGTCCCCTGCACTGACTTTTGTTGGCAGTCAATTGGGGTAAAGGTGATGTGTGGTTTCTGTGGAAATTAATGTAAACAAGGCTCAGAAAGGACAAGACAAAGCATTCTTGAATTAGAAATAGAACAGATAAAATATATGATTGTAATTAGAACATTGTCCTTCTAGTCAGAAGGTTTTAGTTATGGGAATGGAATTTGGATGTGAGTTTCTCTGACCTTGGCAGTAGGCTGCAGGGAGACTCACTTCTATAAACAAGCCAATTGTGGGGCTAATTCTTCATAGCTTGCTTTGGGCATGATCAGTATTGCAGTCCTCTGCAGTAACAGACTAGTTAACCAAGCATGATATGCGACTCAAAATGCCTGACTTCTGATCACATGCACAGAGCTATTAAACTAGATAATCTTTAAGTCCCTTTTCTGTTGTTTTTTAAAATTAGTCCATGTTTGTAGTACATAGTGGTTACATTGTGAAGGATTGAATTCTGTGTTATAATTATGAGTCATTTTTCCATTGTGTGTAATGCACAGTGTATTGACACAAAGACAAAATGTATGCCTCTGGTGCTTATGGTCTAGTAGAAAAATGAGAGGAAAATAAAAAACTTTGGTTTTTATTATTGGAAATGATACAATAAAGTATCTTGTGTGCTATTAAGAGCAATTTTTGTGGTTGATTGTTGCATTTTGGCCATTAAATTCATCCTTCAAACTTGAAAGTTGATCAAAGTACTTACAAATGCAGTAAAGCATGATAAACATAACAGAAAAGTAAAGGATTAAGGTGGCATTGGCAAATTAATCTTTTAGACTCTGAAATAAGTACAAATATATATGTTGGTTATACTAGTGTTCCTTTAAAATATACTTTTTTAATGGAACTGTTACATGATAAAGATAAAATTGTGTAGGTTCAACTTTGAAAGGCTCTGGTGACATCAGAACAACACTTTTTTTCTTCTACATAAACTTCCTTGCAGAAAAGAATCATATTCAGTACATCCTAATTACTTTAAATTTGCCTGAACTGGGGAAATAAAGGGAATGAACAACACAGCACAGGACCCAAAGGATGACTGATTCTGGCTCTGTTCTTTCTTCTTTATTCTCTAAAGTCTGGCTTAAAGCCTATTCTTTTCATGAAAATGTCTTCAACTAGCATCATCTCCACACTGCTTCTTCTACTTTTCTAATTTGTATAATTCTTTTTTTTTTTTTTTTTTTTTTTTTTTTTGTGTACAGTTCCCTAATTTTAGTCTTCCTAAACCAATGTCTGTACAACGGAAGTTAGACCTAAAAGTTAACATCAAATTTATGGACATTCTCTTAGCGTGAATAGAAAAAGTAATAATAAAAAGGCAGTAAGGTTGACTTAGAATTTCCTTTCCTGTCCTCTCACCCTGACTGGCACAGTCAACACATTTCAGAGTACACTCCCCACAGTGATGGAGGCACTCACTGCCCCAGCATCTAATACGATGGTTTCGTATTAGAAACCATCTGAGGGATGAGGGCAGCGGGCTGCATGCGCAGAGCAGCAGTGTTATGAACCAGGACCAGCTGCCATGCTGTAACTTTGCTGCCATCAAAAGACAAAAACGCCCAAAGTAAGCATACAGGCTAACACGCAGTACCAATGGTAGAAATCAAGACATAAGTACATTTCTTATGCACAACAGGCCAAGCGATGAAGACATAATACAGAGTGGTGAAAATTAAACTTTCTTTTTAAGGGGTACCACCATGATTTTGTGGTTTCAATAGGAATTAGTATCGCATTTCACACTTGCAACTGTAAAAATCATGTTTAAGACAGTATGGAGTTTAGATTTTGGTGGAAGCCTAGATAATTTGTATAATTCTTAAAGGAGCTAGTATCAGAAAATGGTTTGTAGGAAGGTTGATATCATACTGTACTTTAACTTAATTCACTGTATTAAGCTAGGCAAGCTGGTTAACCTTATAAGACTTAGGTTTTATTTTGTGTTTTTTTTTTTTAATGAGAATTACAAAAATAGTGTCTGCTATTGGGGGCATTGTAATAATTGTGTGAGAACATGTGTAAAGATGTTGCAACCTGACTTGCACATATTAACATATTTTATAAACAATAACTATTATTGATATTCACTAATACACTGTTGCCCCCCCCCTTAATTTGTATGTGTTTACTGCTGAGGATGAGGATTGGGAAGAAAGGAAAGACTGTGGTAGTGAGAGATGATGACTTCGGACATCTACTGTATAGATGATAAGGAAAATGGTAGAATTAGACTTCGACTATGGTGAAGACCTCCAAGTGATTGCTGTATACTTAGTAAGCAAAGTGCAGTGGTTCAGCTGCCTACCTTGCAAGCACAAGGTCCCAAGTTTGATCCCCGGTACCAAAAAAGAAAAGAAAATGAGAGATATTCTTGGTGCTGGCAGTGAGAGTTGAAAGGTTTTCAGATGAGAGAATAGGTTTATTTATAGCAGAGAGTAAGGGGAATTAAAAGCTGCTATGTGTAATTTGCCTCATGTATGAAATACTTAAAGTATTATAGAATTCAGTTTTTTGATTCCTGGAATGAGTATTGACTCATTCGTGTAATTAAAACATGAGCCTTGAGTTTTCTTTACAGTAATAATTTAAGGAGAAAGAGAAGGGGAAACCTAGAGATGCCAAGGTATAGATTATTGCAATATTACTGAGTATTCTGTATACATATATATCCAATATTGTAGTAGGCACTGTAACAAAATGCAAAATATGTATAAAAGTAAGTGCTCAAGGAAACTTGTCTAATTCAGGAGAGAGAATTACTATACTCCTAGTTGGAGAACTTAAGTCAACCAAAAAAGGTCTGTTGAGGTCATTGAATTGAGTGAGAGAGGTCAGGCAACTGGAATTGATATTTTTCTCTAGCAGTCACTGAAGAGCATCTGTATGTTTAGGATCAAGCATAGGATTAGTACTAAGACTGAGAAGTAGGTGATATGTGCAGGCAATATGAATGGTCCAAGGGAGAGCAAGCAGTACCTTAAAGAAGCAATCCAGAGTGAATGCCTGCTGTTGGGTTTCACAGACAATATTTTCTGTTAGGGTTTCTGCATTGAGGTTAATGTCTGTGCCGCCTCATCTTCCTCCAGTCTGCCTAGTCACAAGACCCAGTCACTCGGAAGGTTTAAGAGATTGAAACCTTTTGGCACAGACATGGATTTTTAGCCTGGCTCTACTATATCTACGTATCACTTTCCATATCTTACAGAGTTTCTATTGTCAGAGTTACTGTAGGGATTAACTAAATATTCTGTGTACACTGTTGAATTATCACAGTGCCTAGTACGTAGTAAGTGTCAATGAAAGGTTAACAATACAGATTTTAGTATTGTCTTTTTCACTAGTCAGTCAAAATCTAAGTTCCACTGCCTGAGATTAAGATTCACATTCAAAATGTTTCACCCATCCTCATTCTTTTATTACTTTGTACTGTGATTTCTCACTGAAATTTTTGAACAGGGCTATTTATCAGGTATGATATATTCTATCCTTATGGAAGCACCAGGGTAGATCCTGTTGCCTCCCAGTCTTTATGCTCTTATCTCCATTCTGCCATTCTGTTTTTCCCTCCATCATTGTAATATTGGCCCTTCTGGTGTTCCTTCATCACCAAGCTTCTGAAAGAGAGCCCAGACATGCTCACCCCACCTCATGTAGTCTGTCTACATATCTCTCAGAAAGATCTTCCCTGACTCTTTGTCTAAAGTATTACCCTGTATCACCTTCTAATCCTGTTTTGTGTTTCTTTGTGGCCCTTATCACTCTCATACCACCTGAAATTGTTTTATATATTCATTTACTCATTTTTATTCTCCCTTTGTGGAATGTAAATTCCTTCAGCAGTACTATATTTTCAGTGCCTAAAGCAGTTAAAAATAAGCACTCAGTTAATATTTGTTAAATGAGGATTTAAAAATTTGCAAATAGTCAAACCTAAACATGAAAATTACTCTTTAAAAGATTAGCGTAGGGCCAAGGATTTAGCTCAGTGGTTCTGCTTCCCGCCTCACAAGTACAAGATCCCAAGTTTGATCCCCGGTACCAAAAATAAAACAAAACAAAATAATTTTTAAAAAATAAAAAATAAAAGATTATTCTAGAAAAAGCATAGTTAGTGACACTACCAAACAAAATTAAATTGCAATTTCATTTTCTTCTAGAAAAATGTTGACGATGGAGCAGTAGAGAAACTCTCCCTTCGTAAGCAGCGGTTCATGCAATTTTCTTCACTGGAACATGAAGGGGAATATTATATGACACCACGAGACTTCCTTTTTTCAGTAATGTTTGAGCAAATGGAACGTAAGTTTTAATGTTTTAAGTTAAAAATTAAACTTTAGGGCTGAAAAACCTGCTTTTTTGAATTGGTAATGGCTTTTCTCTTCTGTCTCTTCCTCCTCCTCTCTCTCCTCTTCTTCCTTCTTCTTTTTCCTTCTCCCCGTCTTTCGGTTTCTCCCCCTCTTCCTCCTTCTGCTTCTCTGTGTCCTCCTCTTCCTTCTCCTCCTCCTCCCAGCAATAAATAAAATTTCACTACAAAGCTTTAAAAAAAAATGCTCAGTTATTTCAAATGATGTCAGCAATTCTTAGTTTTATTTAAACTACTGCCTTTCACTTTGCAGGCTCGTTTTATAAATGTAGTCTATGAAAAACTGTCTTCCTGACACCTTCTAAGATGCTCTGAAATACTCCCTCTGAACAGCTGTGTATGTATAAGCTTAATGTGTAGGAGCACAGTGAACAATCAGAAAAATATAGTTTGAATCAGAAGAAGCTGAATGACTTGTAAATCACTCATTGTAGACATTATAAATATTGGGGGGAGTGACTTGGAATACAAAATGAGTGAACATAGCATATTTTAGGAACAATAACTTTACCAATCACCAGAAATAAGGGCTTGCTTCAGGGAGTGGTGAGAGATCAAATTGAAAAACAAACAAGGGCCATGTTTTACAAAATATTTCAGTGACCCCGTCCAACTACCAAAAGAACGTATATTTGGCAGAGATGGGTGGACTTCATCTTAAACCAGTGAGGAAACAGTGAAGGTTTATGAGCAGGAAAATAAGCTTACATCCATCAAAGACCTGAAGTCACAGGACACACTGACCTTAAAAATGGAGACAAGCAAATCCAGAGAATCCACTTACACATAGCAGAAACTACCTAAAATCCACCACTGAGCCATTATCAAGCAGAATTAAAGAATAATTGACTAACTGAGAGAGAAAACTTCCTAAAGACTCATATACTTTTTTGAATTTTACTTCAAGGAGCCCCACCATCGTCCCCCAAGGAAGATCTAAGAAACTCCTTTCCCTCAAAGGGAAGGAAAAGTAGTCATTGTTAAATACCCCACATAATTTCATTCTCCTTATCAAAGACCTGCACGGAAAAGAAACTATTGTACCGTAGCCCAGCCAACCTGCAGGAGTGGAAATTCCCAACTCCAGCCCACTGTAGCCTTCTTGTTTCATTTAAAGGGGTTGGGTTGGGTTGGGTTGGGTTTGAGATAAGGTCTCACTATTTTGCCCAAACTGGTCTTGACTGACTAAAAGATTGACAGTTGATCTTAGAACTGTGTAACACATACAGGTCTTAGAATTTTGTAACATCCCCTGCCCCCCACACACACACCTCACTACCACATCCGTAGGCCCCACTGTACAAATACAGCAAGCATTGAATACAACATAGTCCTAAACTGGTAAACATAAAGGGCCTTCTACCAGGGCTCAGGGTATATCTCAGTGTGAGCATTTGTCTGGCATACACATTACCTTGTGTTCAGTTCCATGCACCCCCCGCCACACACACACACATACACAGAAGGCCTTTTATGTCAGTAACTACTAACTCTGTAAGTCGTAAGGCTTGCTGAAAGAAAAACCCATTCTGAAGATAAAAGGTAAACATCAGTACTAGATTCAAACACAGCAGACATTTTGGAATTATGAGGTTAGGAAACTAAAATATCCGTGATTAATATGTTCAGAACACTAATAGAAAAAGTGCACAGCGTTCAGGAACAGATAATTGCTGTAGTTTGGGTCTTGAATGACCCCCAAAAGCACAAGTATTAGAGGCTTGGTCCGCAGCCTGGGTGCTTTAGGGAAGTGTTGGAACCTTTGGAACCTCACTGGAAGTAAGTTAGTTTATCAGGGACACCCTTTGAAGAAGCTGGCAGGATCTTGGTCCCTTTTCTTCTCTTAATTCCCTGCTGCATGAGGTGAGCAGCTTTGTTCCATCATGTGCCCTTCTCATGATGGTGTGCCTTGCCACAGGTCCAGCAGCACAGAGGCAATTGATCATGAAACCTGGAGAGTCGGTAGCCAGAATGAACCATTCCTCTTGTGAGCTGATTATGTCATATATTTTTCTCATGGTGATAGATGACCAAGAGAGTAATGTAAGTAGGAAATGCTTAACTTTTAACAGCAATGAAAGAACCCAGAAGTGCTGGACTCATCAGTAATCCACCTGCCTGAAGAGAGAATCAGTGATCTTGAAAATATCAGTAGAAACTTCCCAACTTGAAAAACAGAGCGGAAAAAAGACAAGAAGAATAAGACAATTCCAGAAGATGCAACATACTCACAATGAGAATACCAAAAGGAAAAGGAGTACAAAACATATTTGGAATAATAATAGACTGTTAACAAACATCAGACTAAAGAAAAAAAAAAAAAAAACCGCTGAGTCAAGAAGCTTATCAAACACCAAGCAGAATAAATATCAAAAAATACTTAATAGGTGTGTAATAGTTAAATATCTAATATGCATATAATAGTTAAACTGCAGAAAGTTAAAGGAAAAGAGATCTTGAGGGAAAAAAAAAACAGAAGAAAAAACACTTATAGAACAAGGATAAGAATTTTATCGTACAAGCAAGGGAAGGATGGATCGACCATGTAACATTTTAAATAAAAACTACTAGTCTACTACTCTATATCCAGTGAAATTATCCTTCAGGAGTGAAGCAGAGGTAAAACTTTCTCAGACAGAAGTTAAGGGAATTTGTTACCTGTAGGATCTGCTTTACAAGAATTGTTAAATGAAGTTCTCCAGAGAGAAGGGAGATAATACAAGTCAGAAATTCAGATGTATGTGAAGAAAGGAAAAGAATTAGAGAAGGAATGCATAAAGATAAAATCACATTTATTTTTCCTATCCTTAAAAGGTCTAATAGGTGACAGTTAAAAATAATAGCAACAAAATATTAGGTGATCAGATATTGTGGAAAAGTGAAACATACGGCTCCAATCTTACATGTGACATGAGGGAGGAATTAGACATACTCTATTATAATGTATGCACACCGCCCAGGAAACAGTAAACTATTTGAAAGTGGGTTTTGATTGGAGTTGTAAATGTATATTGCAAACCTTAAGCAACCCCTAAAACACTCTTTACAAATGTAGAATTACCCGGTATGGTCTCACACACCTGCAATCCCAAACTTGTGAGGGAAAGGTAGAAGGATCACCACAAGTTCAAGGCCAGCCTGGGCTACATAGTGAGTTTAAGACCAGCTAAACTACATACAGGATACTGTCTCAAAAATTATA